TGGAGCAGTGATCAGAATTGACCGTCCAGGGATTGGAGCAGGTGATCAGAATGAGTCGGGGTGGGCAGGTGATCCGAATGAGTCAGGGTGGGAGTAGGTAGTTGGAAAAGGTTGCTTTACGAGGAAGTTTAATTTAAAAGTAGGAAAGCAAAGAATGAAACATACTGACTTATTAATTCTTTGAAGAGAAATTTAGAATTCATATTCAGCAAATGTTTATTGTTCATCTAAAATTCAATTCAACTGAGCATCCCATGTTTTAATTTGCTAATTCTGGTAACCCTATCTTGAAGTGTTTATATTTACTGATGAAATTAGTGAGCACTGGTGCTGATTGTTCGGTAAAAATTCTGAAACTCAAATTCCATTAAATGTGGGAATATACCACTAGCAAGAAATATGTAGAGCAGCCCTTAAATTTTATTTACCAGTTTAATAATTTTTTTACCAAATAAGAATACTTAATCTTTATTTGTAAAAAATTAAACAGTTGATAAAAGTGGTTTATTAAAGTACAAAACGTGGTTTTTAAAATTGAGGTATTTAGATATAGGTTTTTAAAGACTGTTCCTAGGTTTCCATATTGATTTTTGTTGTATAATTTTATGCATCCTTTTTTTAGGTGACTCCTGATACGAATACAGTATCAGGATCTATATCTTGGGGCATGTTTTATTTATATTGGATTAAACTAATACTCTTCAATATGTACTTCACATTTTGTTTTTAATCGTGAGAGCAGGAGAAGATTAAGGTAATTGCATCTGAAGATGTAGATGTCACAAGATTATGGAAGTCTTCTGAAGACTTGACTTCCTCTTCATTGCCATGATAGGTCTGCCGTACTTTATTGGTTAAAATCACTATTGGATTGCTATAAATCTTTTGAAGAAGAAAAATATTATTGTGGGCTTTTTTTTTTTTTTGACCAGAAAGTTTGAGTCATGTTACTTTTTTTTTTTTTTGTTGGGAAAAGTGACACTGAGCATTTTTTCATGTGTCAGTTGGCAAAAATATTATTGTGGGCTTTTTTTTTTTTTTGACCAGAAAGTTTGAGTCATGTTACTTTTTTTTTTTTTTTTTGGGAAACGGTAATTTCTCTCAGCCTTTATTTTAACATTCAGCAGTAGATGATGGATGTTTTAAATCACTCTTGATAAGAAGCTATAAGTAGGAGTTATTTTGTTTCACAGATACCTGGCAGGTCAAAAATATACTCAAATTGAATAAATATTCTCAAGTAGGGGAATAGTAAGTCCGAGTAGCTCATGCTGCAGAGAGGAAGCACATCTAAAGCTACAATGAGTGCTCCAGGGAGCCACTCCTACACCATTTCCACAAAAAGCAAAGAAGAGACAACGACTGGGAGTCATGTGTGTTTATAGCAGCATGATTTATAATCCTTTGGGTATATACCCAGTAATGGGATTGCTGGGTCAAATGGTATTTCTAGTTCTAGATCCTTGAGGAATCGCACACTGTCTTCCACAATGGTTGAACTACTTTACACTCCCACCAACAGTAGTGTTCCTATTTCTCCACATCCTCTCCAGCACCTGTTGTTTCCTGACTTTTTAATGATCGCCATTCTAACTGGTGTGAGATGGTATCTCATTGTGGTTTTGATTTGCATTTCTCTGATGGCCAGTAATGATGAGCATTTTTTCATGTGTCAGTTGGCTGCATAAATGTCTTCTTTTGAGAAGTGTCTGTTCATATCCTTCGCCCACTTTTTGATGGGGTTGTTTGATGTTTTCTTGTAGTTTCTTGAAGAATGGAGAACTGACACTTTTCTCATATCTACCATGTAATAAAGACTGTGACTTCTATAAAAGATTTCACCACTACATCTTGAAAATATTAGGAGTAATTTTAAGGGCTTAAAAATACAGTGATCTGTTCACTGAGAAAAAAATTTTTTTTGGTTCTTTAGAGGAAGCCCGTTTGAAATATGAGAAAGAAGAAATGGAAAGGCTTGAAATACAACGAATTGAGAAAGAAAAATGGAATCGACTTGAAGCAAAAGTAAATAAACATTAATAATGTTCTTAATGAGTACTTTAAACTATGGTTATCAGATCTACTGTCATTTAATATCCTTCTCAGTCCATAGCTACCAGTAATATTTAGGCCTACATGAACTTAATCCTACCATAGAATAAGTGACATTGTTATCTAGATTTCACCGACGAGGAAATTGAGGTACGGAGAAATTAAGCATCTAATCAGTAACATAGTCAAGACTTAGATCTAAGCAGGTCTTGCTGAAGAGCCTATGCTTGTAACCTTAAAGCATATGTGAATCTGTTTTATAGACAAGTTAACAGCAACCAAAAAAAAAAAAAAGCAAAATATTCAAATTCTATCTCTCCTTTTTTAGTTTCACTTGTCTGTTTCACTAGAATCTTTTAGATCAGTAATTCTGAAATATTCTGGTCTCAAGACCAAACTCCATTACTATTAAAAACTGAAGACCCCCCCCGCCCCGCCAAGGAGCATATGTTTATGTGGATTACATCAATCAATATTTTACCATATTAGAAATTAAAACAAAAATTTTAAACTGCTTACATTAACAGACATTACATGTTGATAAAAATAAACTTTATTAAACACAAGTAAATACATGAACATTTTTAAAGAAACAACTTTTTTTTTTAAATTGAGGAAATGAATGGCATTGTTTACATTTTAAAAATTTATTTGATATCTGACTTAACAGAAGACGGCTGGATTCTCATATCTATTTCAGTATTCCATCTGTTGCAATGTGTTGTTTTGTATGAAGCATATAAAGAAAATCTGGCCTCACACAGCTACGCAATTGGAAAAAAAGTAATATTGTAATAGCCTTTCTGATAATTGTGGATATTCTTCTTTGATACTATATCAAAACTCTACAAGTCATAGTTTCTTAATGTGGAATATGAAACCATATCAATGAACTATTCATACTCTGTTATTTTAAAACATTGATCTGTCTTATCCTCTGAATAGATCTTGTTTTCATATATGATTTAGCAATTTCATGTGTTGCTTGCTTGAAAAGGTTTGGTTCACTGAATTATTTGCTTCCAAATGTTGATGTAACTTATTATTCATTATCAAAAATCACATACGTTAGTATAATCACCAAACAAATCAGAAGTTTTTTCGTTTTGTTTTGAGACGGAGTCTTGTTCTGTCACCCAGGCTAGAGTGCAATGGCATGATCTCAGCTCACTGCAACCTCCACCTCCCAGGTTCAAGTGATTCTCCTGCCTCAGCCTCCTGAGTAGCAGAGATTACAGGTGCTCACCACTGCGCCTGGCTAATTTTTGTATTTATAGTAGAGACAGGGCCAGGCTGGTCTCGAACTCCTGACCTTGTGATCCATGCACCCCTGCCTCCCAAAGTGCTGAGATTACAGATGTGAGCTGCCATGCCAGGCCCAAACCAGAAGTTTTTAAAGATTGGAATACTTTTAAGCTTACAGTGATAGATACAAGTTTTCTAAAATTTGAATTTTTGCCTGAAAGCTTGAATTTTATCATTGGCAATACATATTTTGAGTTGTATCCTTGAAGTAACACACTCCAATGATTCATTTTTGAGAGAATGTCTGCCAAAATAGTCAAATAATTGCACAAGTGGCATTTCTCGAGACAGTATTGTCATTTGATATGCAACAGAAGAGCTTTGTGCTTACTTCCCATTTTATCCAGCAGGATATTAAAAAGACATGTACTTAGGGTTGAGGTTTAATACAACTAATAATTTTTCACCTCTTCATCAGGGCATTCTTTTTTTTTAATTTTTTTTTTTTTAATGTGATTCAGACTCTTGCCCTGTCGTCCATGCTGGAGTGCAGTTGTGCGATCTTGGCTTAGTGGAACCTCTGCCTCCAGGGTCAAGCAATTCTCCCGCCTCCGCCTCCCGAGTAGCTGGGCTTCCAGGCACACGCCACCATACCTGGCTAATTTTTGTATTTTTGATCGAGACGGGTTTTCACCATGTTGGCTGGTCTCGAACTCCTGACCTCGTGATCTGTGTGCCTCAGCCTCCCAAAGTGCTGGGATTACAGTTGTGAGTCACTGTGCCCGTCCATCCGGGCATTCTTTTGTGAAGCTGGTTCCTTCCCCTCACCTCTCCCCGTAGAAATAGTGCAGTTTGGGGTCACTGTCTGATTTGTGCTAAGACATCAGCACTTTCACACCATCTTGCACAATCAGTGCAAATAGGTACACGATGAAAAAGTCAGATAATGTTAATATTATTATGGAAATAGATTTGACCTCACAGATCCCAACTTCTAGAGCCACCAAGAGTCTGTAGATCACACTTTGTAAGCCACTGTTTCAGATGAAACCTTTTGGAGATATCAGTTATATTCAAACTAATTTTAATATTCATTTTGGAACTACAGTTATATATTTAGCCACATGTTTTAGATGCTAATTGTGAAACAAAAAGCTAAAATTAAAGAGCAGATCAATGTATCTGTCCTTGTGCAACAGGATCTAGAAAGGAGAAATGAAGAACTTGAAGAACTTTATTTATTAGAGAGGTGTTTTCCTGAAGCAGAGAAATTGAAACAGGAGACTAGAATGCTTTCTCAGGTAAGACTGATTTCTCTTTTTTAGCTAATACTTTTGTGACCACAAGAGGGAGTTGTAGTCCAATTTTGATGCCAAGAAACTAAATTTATCTGTTTTAAAAAACCCTCTCATCTGACAAATTGATTGCTTATGGCAAAGTAAAGTAACATAACTTTGTAGAAAGCTATTTGTCAGTAATAACGTCCTTGAAATGTTTATATTCTTTGACACTGACTCAATTGTTGGGAATGTATACTAGGGAAATTATGCTAAATTAAAACGTAAAAGCTTTGTGCTTAAGGCAGTCTAGTCTTGCTCACAACAGCATAACTTTGGAAGTAATGTAGGTGAATATCAGAAGAAAAATGAAAAACTATTATTTGGCTAAGGATTGTGGTATAATCTTAAGTTAAAAATTCTAAGTACAGTACAATATGATTACAAATGTGAAATTTGCATAAACCACAAAATGAATGGAAGGCCTTGTACTAAAATGCCAGTGGCAACTAGACATTAGTAATAACTTGGGAAGTAGAAATTAGCCCAAGTGTTGGCCTTTGCAAATAAGCAGCTCTATGATTAGAGAGGAAAACTAAGCAAAACAAAAACTACTTATAAATAATGCTTTAAAAATAAAAATCTGAAAGTAATTAGTGCTTCTATGCATCGGAATGTTAAGGATTAGAAATTACTTGGATAAATAAGAATTTGGTTATTTTGGAGCTCTCTCAAGTTAATGGTTAAAGCCATCATGTTTTTATCTAAGTTGGTTAAACTAGGTTATAAGAATATACTTCAAAAAAGAAGTCATTTAATCTTTGGTTGAATCTTCATCAATGTGAACCTTTAAACATTTTTATTCCACAGTGGAAACACTACATTCAATGTGATGGGAGTCCTGATCCTTCAATAGCCCAAGAAATGAACACGTTTATTAGTTTGTGGAAAGAGAAAACAAATGAGACTTTTGAGGAAGTGATTGAGAAGAGTAAAGTAGTGCTAAATGTAGGTGTTTTATGTATTTTCCTATAAACTGGCTATTACAGATAGTCTGATATTAACTCAAAAATAAATTAATAGATTACTTGCCAAATAATAACACTACTGCTTCTGAACCTTTAGCAAAAGAAGTAATTGGTCAGCTTTTTCATTTTCTTTTTACAAGTCCTAAGAATTCCTTGCCACATTAGCTAAGGTCACCATATCATAACACATTATTTGTCTGTCTAATAAAGAAAAAAAATCAAGTTGCATGCATTCATGTAGATAACACAGGTGGGGGTAGGGGGTAATTTTATCCTCAGTTGGAATATCCACTGTTCAGTAATTTAGTACCCATGATTTTTAATGTTTACTTAGTGCAACCTCTGCCTCCTGGGTTCAAGCAGTTCTCATGCCTCAGTCTCCCGATAGTTGGGATTACAGTCATGTGCCACCACACGCAGCTAATTTTTGTATTCTTAGTAGAGATGAGGTTTCACCATGTTGGCCAGGATGGTCTCAAACTCCTGACGTCAAATGATCCACCCACCTTGGCCTCCCAAAGTGCTAGGATTACAGACATAAGCCACTGCACCTGGCCGAGAATTTTTAATCAGGAGTGAATCAAAAGTTGGATTGGAAAAATTTACCAGAAGACAGCGCAGAGATGAAGAGATAGAAAATATGAAAGAGCAGTTGACAGGCATGTATGATAGAGTAAGAAGGGCTAAAAATATATGGAAAAGAAGGGATATGGAAGAATGGAAGAGAGATAATATTCAAAGAGATAATGGCTGAAAAATTTCCAGAATTGATGAAAGATGTGAATCCTCACATTCAAGAAACTCGACAAATTCTAAGTAAAAAGAAAAACTAATGTTTATACTTTTAACACTTCTGACACCAAATGTATGTGGGGTTTTCTCACACCAACCAATTATCCAACTCTCCAGATACCTGCTAAGTGTCCTTCGATCAGTGCTGGTACTGAGTACTTAGAGCTAGTGCAGACCCCAGTCCCACAAAACTGCCTCTTCCTTCACTTCTAGTCACAAGTCCCAGCTTGTCACCTGTACTTCTGATCAGCCTGTTATAAATCAGCCACAAGCCATTGGTCAGGTTATTTGCTATAATGGCTCACAAAACTCAGGGAAACATTTACTCGCCTCTACTGGTTTATTATAAAGGATATTACAGAGGATACAAGTGAACAACTAGATGAAGAAATACAAGGGGTGAGGTCCGTAGGGAGGAATGTAGAGCATCCATGCCCTCTTGGGGCACACCACCCTTCCAGCACTTCAATGTGTTCACCAACCAGAAAGTTCTCTGAACCTCGTGTTTGAGTTTTTTATGGAAACCTCATTTATGTAGGCATGATGGATTAAATCATTTGCCACTGGCGTTTCAGTTCATCTTCATCCCCTCTCCCCATCCTGGAGGCCAGGGAGTGGGGCTGCAGGCTTCAGCCCTCTAATCTCATGGTTGGTCCCTCTGGCAGTCAGCCCCCATCTGCTAAGACTCATCATACTAGCATAAACTCAGATAAGGTTGAAAAGGGCTTATTATAAATAACAAAAGCTGTTTCTCTCATTCCTATCCCTCAAGAAATTCTAAGAAGCTTACACCAGGAACAGGGGGCAGAGACCAAATACTTACTTCTTTTTGTGTCACATCAAGTTAGGATAAATAAAATCACACTTAACACACTTACATGATAATAGAAACTAGAAGGAATTCACTACTCTTATTCCTGTTATTATCCTTTAGTGCTTTTTTGGTCTAGCTCCTCACAGTTTTATGCTTCCTGTCATTGCTGCTGTAGTTTAACTTCTTCATGTTGTCAAAAGAGAGTATAACTGTAGACTCTTAAGCTCATACCATGCATTGCATGATTTAATCTGAACAACAAAGTTATGAGAGTCCTTTAACAAAGAAAGAAACATAGATTGTGATTTGCTTACAGTCCACTATGAGACCTTAGATGGACCTTACTCTGACTTTCCAAAGGCCCAAGGAGTCTCCCATACAGTCTGAGCTATTTAAATGCCAGTGGATTAATCATACAGTGTTCTTGCTACTACACATCCTCTTTACCAGAGAAGCTGCCATGGCATAACGTCAGCTTAGGAATCTGGTACTTTGCAATTAGCAGGGAGGTAGTGGGCAGTAGTACTAGAGTTCACCAGTGATGAGCTGCAAGGGACATCTTCCTGTTACAAGAATGAGGAGTCAGAAGTAGAAGTAATAAAGAGCAAAAAAGTTGAGAAAAGGATAAGTTCAATAACACGGGCGACAGAAGAGGGAGTAATCACAGCAATAGGAAACGAAAGCAGAAAGCTGCAGAACAAGTGGACTTGGATAGCAGTAACAGAAGGAAATGGCCCCATCGTAAACACCGATTTCCAAATTTTCAAATTTATTTAATAAACTCTTATGTAGTACTTAATCTATGCCAAGCTTTGGAAATACTAGCTTTCTGAGTTCTCATGATAACACTAGAAGATAGGTACTATAAACCCCATTTTTTCCAGTGAGAAAGTTAAGGCACAGAGATGTTAAATAACTTGCCCAAGACCACACTGCTAGTTGAGAAGTGGCCAGGATTGAAGCCTAGCATTCTTGCTTGAGTCCATACTACCCTACACTACGATGCTGCCTGTCTTAATTCAGAAAATTTCTGTGTATTATCTGTGTCAGTGTTCAAAATTTAATTCTGCCACTTACTAGTTGTTCCTTCATCACACTGTACCTCAGTTTCGTCATCTATATATACCATAACAATATCTACCCCATAGAATTATAATGAAGACTAAATGCATTAAAACATATACAATATTTAGAACAGTTCCTGGTGCATAGTAAGCATTCAGTAAAAATGGTAGTAGTTCTATTCCACCTCCTTCTCCTCATCGTTGTTATATTATTATTGTTTTTTCTATTGTCTCTCAGTCTTAGATAATGACAAGTTGCCACTCATTTATTAACTTGCTAATGAAAACTCTGTCACACATAGTTAACTGGTAGGTCCGAGGGTTTAATTAGATTCAGAGCCACCATTTTCAGCAAGAAGGCATCATAGGTTATGTTGTGTTCTTCATACTGCATCCTATCAGAAGCCATATGATGTTCCATTATTAATTTAATGATGCGAATTTGATCACGTGGTTAAGGTGTTTGCCATTAAATCTCCACATTGCAAAGTACATTTTCCCCAATCTGAGGTCAGATACTTTGGCACTGGGAGAATTATGTATTCCTCAACAGCTTTTCACCTAATCATTTAGATAGTCATTGAGGATCTTTATCTGAAGCAGTTATTACACTGGGGATTGAAAAATGGTGATTTGCTAACTGATAATTGCATCCATATTAGATAGATAGCATTCTTCTGTGAAGAACTGTTCTTTCTTCACCCCCCCTTCCCCTTTCATTTCTGAACGTCTAATACTATATACTCATGGATTTTTATTTATTCAGTGTGTTATAATTAATTTTAAGGGAGTTTGGGAGGAAATTTTTGTTTATGATCTTAAATTACAGAATAAATACTGGAAAGGATTTCTATATGTTTTGCTAAGTATGTGTTCTTCAATTCAAAAGGGATAGAACATTCCCTTTTTCACTTGTCCTTGACTATTTCTCTGAGAATTAATGCAAATATTATTTTACTTTACAGTTAATTGAGAAATTGAAATTTATTTTATTGGAAACTCCACCGTGTGATTTGCAAGATAAAAATATAATACAGTACCAAGAATCAATTCTACAACTGCAGGAGCTCCTTCATCTTAAATTCAATGTAGCCACAGAAATACTTCTCAGAGTAAGTGTGATATTTTGCTTATGTATTAAGTTCTATAAGAGCTAACATTTTGTGTTATATATAAAATAATTCAGTATTTTTTAAACTGAAAAATCAAGAGTTTATGGAAAAGTTAATAGAATAATTTAAAGTACATATATTTATTCAGATTTAATAACTGATAATATTTTATTTTTAAATGTAGTTTTGTTTTGGTTTGATTTGGTTTTTTTTTACAGATAGTAAATATGGAATCTCCCTGTGTTACCCAGGCTGGTCTCAAACTTCTGGACTCAAACAGTCTTTCTTCCTTGACCTCCCAAAGTACTGGGATTACATGTGTGAGCCACTGCTCCCCCCAGACATTTTATTTTTGAAGAAATAGAATATTATTTCTATTTGCCATTAAAAGTAATGGCAAAAATCACAATTACTTTTGCACTCACCTTATATTATTATTTTTATTCTTAGGATAATAATATGTAAGGATAGGATAAGAGACCTCATCCTAATATATATATATATATTAGCCAGGCATGGTTTGCCTGTGGTCCCAGCTACTTGGGAGCCTGAGGTGGGACCATCGCTTGAGCCCAGGAGGTCAAGGCTGCAGCGAACCATGATCGCGCCACTGCACTTCAACTTTGGCAACAGAGCAGACTCTGTCTCAAAAAATAATAATAATAAATAAAAGAGGAAGAAGAAGAGGAAGAAGAGGAGGAGGAGGAGGATTAGAAAAAATACTATAATGTTATATTTCAATTTGAAATATCAGCATGAACCAGATTTCTTTTTATTCCATAAATAGGATTTGGGATTTCAGTTCTGGGGCAGGAAAAGTGAAAGATGAGGCTGGATTGTCTTCCTGTGCTAGAAGGCAAGCAAACGCTCAGAGACTAATGACGTTGTATGAAAGAGATGCCGTTAGCTAAGAGGCTAGCTTACAAGTCCCACTGATCAACTTTGGAATAATTTGAATATCAGAATAATGATTATAATCAATTATAAAAAATTGAATATATAAAAATTTTTGAGTTTATAGTGATACTTCAGAAACAAAGAGGAAGGTGGAGTGAAGAAAGAACAGTTCTTTACAGTAGAATGCCATCTATCTAATGTGGATGCAGTGATCAGTTAGGAAATCACCATTTTTCAATCCCCAGTGTAGTAACTGCTTCACATAAGGATCCTCAATGGCTACCCAAGTGATTAGGTGAAAAGTTGTTGAGGAATACATAATTCTCCTAGTGCCAAAGTATTTGACCTCAGATTGGGGAAAATGTACTTTGCAATGGTTGGATTTGGTGGTCAGCACCTTAACCAAGCAATCAAGTTCATATCATTAATAGTGGAACATCGTATGTCTTCTGATAGGATGCAGCATGAAGAATACAGCATAACCTATGATGCCTTCTTGCTAAAAGTGGTGGACCTGAATCCAGTTAAACCCCTAGACCTTCCAGTGTACAAAAATAAAGACGATAGAGGAACAAGTTAAACAATGCCATGAGGAAACAATAATAGAAATCCACAATGTGGGACAATTCTACGAGATAACTGTCCTGAACACTTCAAAAAGTTACAGTTACAGAAAACAAAAAGTGTGCAAGAATAATCACACTTAAAAAATTAATAATAAATGTAGTCTTCAACATTTTAAAGTTTTACGTTCTAGCAAGCGCATATTGACTTATTCAAATCCTTTATGACAGCTGATTTCTTGAGCAATAGGCATCAAACTATGTTAGTTTTTATTTTAAAATTCTTAAGAACATACTTGAATTTTATGGTTAATATTGGATATTAAAGTATTAGACTAGTGAAAACATGACTCATCTGGATTTTATAAGCTGGATATTTTGCTTTCTAAACTTGATGTGTTCCGAGATAGGTTAACTTTGCAGTAGAATAGTCTACATTTTAATAAGATACAGATAAATCAGCATGTGTATAGTTAAAATGAAAAGTCATGATTCTGATGTTATGACTGAGAAAGGTAACATAATATTAATCCACAGGTGCTACCCGGAAATACAGAAGTAACTTTATTTTTTACTTTTCTGAGACCCAGTCTCGCTCTGTCACCCAGGCTAGAGTGCACGGTGCAATCATGTCTCACTGCAGCCTCAACCTCCCAGACTCAAGCAATCCTTCCACCTAGCATCCTCCCAGCTCCCAAGTAGCTGGGACTACAGGCGCACACCACCATACCCAGCTAATTTTTTGTAGAGATGAGGGGTCTCATTATGTTACCCAGGCTGTTCTTGAACTCCTGGACTCAAATGATCCTTACAACTTGGCCTACCAAAGTGCTCAGATTACAGGTATGAGCCACCTCACCCAACCTAAGAGCTACTTTAATTCTTAGACACCTTAGGAGAAACTGAATGGAAAAAGGAGATGCATGTTTAAGTAAGTAAATACATTTGCATCCTTTAGAGGATTTTTTAAAACAATCCTTTGTCATGTTGATTGAACCTGATTTTTACCCAAGTTACTCTTTTAGGTGGTTAATAAAGGGAATCCAACACGTAAGTGATAAAGTAACTTATCTAAGTTGTATTATTTATGAGGCCTGTGGCCCTTTGTAATGTTTTCTTTTTCTCTTTACAGCAAGCTAGTACTTTGGCAGATCTGGACAGTGGAAATATGGAAAAAGTCATTAAAGATGAAAATGTTACTCTATATGTGTGGGCAAACCTCAAGAAGAATCCAAGGTACCCTTGTGGATAATACTTTCCCTGTAGGTGGAAAGACATTGAACCACATCATGATTGCCAGACAGATGCCGACTGCATAGCAGCATGGTGTGTTTGGAAAAGCCCATTTTAGGAAATTAGCCCACTGAAGGTTGAATCACGAACCTGCCATTTACTTACACAAGTTACTTAACTACGTTGAGCTTCAGTATATCATCAGTAAAATGATGATTATGTCCCTTAATAGGATTGGATTGAAGATTAAACATTAGTGCATGTAAAAGTTATAGCATAGTGTTTATTACAAATATATACTCATTAAATACTAGGTCTTCCTCTTCTCTTTACCCACTTAACCCCTCTACCCTCCAAAAAAGTAGAAGTGGTAGGTGCTTTCTTTTTCTTTTCTTTTCCTTTTTTTTTTTTTTTTGAGACAGAGTCTCGCTCTGTCATCCAGGCTGGAATGCAGTGGTGTGATCTCGGCTCACTACAACCTCCACCTCCTGGGTTCAAGCGATTCTTTGTGCCTGAGCCTCCTGAGTAACTGGGATTACAGGCACACACCACCACACCTGGCTAATTTTTTTTTGTATTTTTAGTAGAGACAGGATTTCACCATGTTGGCCAGGCTGGTCTCAAACTCCTGACCTCAAGTGATCAGCCTGCCTTGGCCTCCAAAAAGTGCTGGGATTACAGGCGTCAGCCACTGCACCTGGCTGATAGGTACTTTCTACATGGCAATCTGGATTTTTTTTTTTTTTTATGAATCTCTGTGAACTGTTAAAAATAATAGATTTTCATATGTGTATTTCTTGGACATTTAAGTGCTGTTTCCCCAATAGTTTCAACAAAGAAACATCTCTGAGAAATGACAGTGATGATGGCAAATTCACCACCACTTGGTTGCTGCTTGATCTTTAAACATTTTAAGTTACTTGCATTAGTATAGCAGTGAGTTTTAGAGAAAAATAACTAGAATAAAAATTAGGAGGCCTAGGTGTGGATCCTACCTCTGAAAAGACTAGCCATGTGACATTTAAAAAAAAAAAAAAATTGGACTTTATTTTTGATGTTTAGTAAAAGGGAAGAACAAAATATTTCCCAAGTTCTTTCCATTTGTTATGAAAAAAAAAAAAAAAACTCTTCGGTTCACATCTAATCAGGGACAATATAGTAACCTTTCTTATTGTAAAATATGTCAAGTACAGAAAAGTGAAGGAAATTAATCTGTAGAATTTTAAATGAATAAAAATAAAATGAATAGCTTTGTACTCACTACCCAAGTTTAAGAAGAGAATTAGTTGGTGTCTTTTACGAGATAAGGAATAGTGCAGGCAGAACAAGTTTCATTTTGATGACGATTGGAGTGGGGGTTGTAAGGATGATGAGTTCAGTGCTGAACTGGCTGAGTTTGAAGTACTTATAAGATACCAGAGTGCAACTGGCTGAAGGCATGGAGAGAAATCTGAGGTGTAGTATATTTTGAGGAGACATCAGCATGTAAACCAATGGTTCTTCACTTTTTGGGAGTCATAGATTCTTCTGAATGTCAAGTAATTACAGATGCTTGCACTTGTGGAAGGGCATTTTTGGACCTCTTAAAGTCCATTCAGAGATGCGTCATACCCCTACCCAACCCTAGGAAAAATAAAGCTCATATTAAAAACTTCTGATAGTATAGATAGTAATTGAGGCCACAGAAGTAACAATACCCAGAGAGTGTGTGTTGAGGGAGAGGAGAAAGAGGGCTTAGGATGGAGCACTGAGTAATATCAACATCGAAAGGATGGTCAGGAAGAAGGCCGTATAGAGGAGACAGAAAGAACTGCCAGAGATGGAGAAGACTGTGGGGTTATGGATCCCAATAAACTGTTTTGAGAAGGATAGCATCAGCAAACTGGGTCCAAATGCTGCAAAGAAAGCACATGTGATCAGACTAAAAATTGGAGCAAAATTAAAGTGAAGAGAAATACTGCTTAGTTATAAATTTGACGCAGATCTAGAGTTTCCTAGGGTCTCATCTTTTTTGTTGTAATTAATTATTAACAGGCACCGAAGTGTCAGATTCTCTGAAACACAAATTGGATTTGAGATTCCAAGGATATTAGCAACAAGTGACATTGCTGTACGACTCCTGCATACTCACTATGATCATGTTTCTGCACTGCACCCTGTTTCAACACCATCAAAAGAACACACTTCCTCAGTAACTGAGCTTGTCAAAGATGATGTTGAGAATGTAGAAAAAGCAATCAGCAAAGAGGTCGAAGAAGAGTCCAAACAACAAGAAAAACAGTCTCACTTAATTCAGGAGGAAAAATTAAAAGTTGAGGAGGAACAAGATGATATTGAAGTGAAAATGGTAGGACACATTTAAATATACACATTTTTTTTTTTCTTCATGCAACACGTGTTATTAGATTCCCTTAAAGTATTCTCAAGATTTTTCCTAAACAAATAGAAATTGTCTGGGAGCCACTTTCTTGCCAGTGCCTCAATTTTTAATGTGTGTCTTTTTCTTGTCTTCCATTAATAGTCAATTAATAGTTGAGCCACTAGCTTCAACATCCTAAAGTTCAGCACAGGAATTGCTCTTTTTTTTTTTTGACACGGAGCCTTGCTCTGTCGCCCAGGCTGGAGTGCAGTGGCCGGATCTCAGCTCACTGCAAGCTCCGCCTCCCGGGTTTACGCCATTCTCCTGCCTCAGCCTCCCGAGTAGCTGGGACTACAGGCGCCGGACACCTCGCCCTGCTAGTTTTTTTGTATTTTTTAGTAGAGACGGGGTTTCACCGCGTTAGCCAGGATGGTCTCGATCTCCTGACCTCGTGATCCGCCCGTCTCGGCCTCCCAAAGTGCTGGGATTACAGGCTTGAGCCACCGCGCCCGGCCGCTCATTTTTATATTAGGTGCACAACCGGGCAGCTTTGATGCCATTTAATTTTTGTGTGTTTATTATATATTTCAAACTCACTCAAGGGAACTTGCCATTAAATGGAAACTTAAGTAAATAATCTTATATTACCCTGTTACTTCCTCAGTTTTTGGTTTTATAAGAAAGAATTTTATAAAGTAAAAATTTATTTTCTTAAAATATCACTCTTCTCTGAAACATTGACATCTTTAGATATAGCTTTTGACCAATTTAATAATCATATTCCTTTAGTTAGCTTCTGCTCTTTTTTCTGTTGGCAAGATTGTCAAGCTTATTTATGGTAGAAGAAAAAGTCTCTTAAGAATTTAGTAATACTTTCTCAGAGCCAAGCAGATTCTTTAATAGCCTATTTGCATGTTATGAGGGACCAAAAAATCTCAAGTTTTCTGACAAGTGCTTAAGACATGAAATGTATTAGTTTATTGATTTATTTTCTTTAAACACGGGAGAGGATTAAGGATTAGATTGAATACAAATTTAAAATCAGAATAGGAATTATTAGATACTCTAAGAACACCTGATTTATTAAGAATTCAATTTAAAATATTACATTGGTATCAAAAATTATAGACTGGGCATGGTGGCTCAAACCTGTAATCCCAGAACTTGAGGTCAGGAGTTCGAGACCAGCCTGGCCAACATGGTGAAACCCTGTGTCTACTAAAAATACAGAAAATTAGCTGGGTGTGGTGGTGCACACTTGTAATCCCAGCTATTTGGGAGGCTGAGACAGGATAATAGCTTGAACCTGGGAGGCGGAGGTTGCAGTGAGCTGAGATCGTGCTATTGCACTCCAACCTGGGTGACAGAGTGAGACTTCATCTCAAAGAAAAATAATAATAATAATAATAAAGACTGTAGCAATGTGGAAAAATGGATATGACATAATGCTAAGTGTAAAAAAATTGTATTTAGACTCTAATGACAAGCACGTGAAAAATTTAAAGGCATAAGGAAATGAGAACCCAGAAATCTCTGCATACCTGATATTTTAGAGAGGTGGGAAACGAGTGATTTATTCCTCTTTAAAAATTTGTCATTTTTGTTTAAATGTTTTTTGGGCAATAAGATCGTTTTTAAAATAAAAATTTCATTTGAACTCTCAGGTAGTGTAGAAGCTTTACTAGAGACAGTAGTATTTCTAGTTCTCTTCCCTTTCCTGGAATATGGAAGGATTATACTCCTCTCCACGTTGAAGCTGGGCATGACCATGTGGCTTACTTTAGCTAATGAGATGTGATTAGATTTGACAAACTCATTTATTTCCAAGGGGGAAAAAAAAGAATGGGTAAATAGGTCTCGTAAATAGGTAATAGGTAACATTGTTTCAATATGGAGTAAAATAAAGTAAAATAAAAAACCCCATTAACGCAAAATAAAATTTGGGAGGATTTGTGATTTTAAATTCCTGAAAACAAAGAACATGTCAGTGTTTTACATGAGAATTTCATATTATTGATTTTAAAACTGTGATATAATAATTTGAAACCATATAATTTGAACTATTGCATTTACACGGCTAAAGCAATTTTTTCTTATGCATCTATCTCAAAGTGGCCTCATATGGTAATAATTCATTATAGTTCTGTTAATTTTGGCAGTAGTTTTATTTTATTTTTTTATTTCAAAAGGTTTTTGGGGAACAGGTGGCATTTGGTTACATGGATAAGTTCTTTAGTGGTGATTTCCAAGATTTTGGTGCACCCATTACCCGAGTAGTGGATACTGTACCCATTGTGTAGCCTTTTATCCCTCATCACTCCCCCACCCTTCCCTTGAGTCCCCAAAATCCATTGTATCATTCTTACGCATTTGCATCCTCATAGCTTAGCTCCCACTTGTGAGGACGTGTGATGTTTGGTTTTCTACTCCTGGGTTACTTCACTTAGAATAATGGTCTCCAATTCCATCCAGGTTGCTGCAAATGCCATTATTTCATTCTTTTTTATGGCTGAGTGGTGTTCCGTGGTACGTATATACCTCATTTTCTTTATCCACTTGTTGATTGCTGGGCATTTGGGCTGGTTCCATATTTTTGCAATTGCAAATTGTGCTGCTATAAACATGCATGTGTAAGTGTCCTTTTCATATGACTTATTTTCCTCTGGGCAGATACGCAGTACTGGGACTGCTGGATCAAATGATAGAACTACTTTTAGTTCTTTCAGGAATGTATTAGTTTACATTCCCATCATCAGTGTAAAAGTGTTCTCTTTTCACCACATCCACTCAAACATCTATTTTTTTTAATTTTTAAATTGTGGCTTTTTTTTTTTTTTTTTTTGAGACAGAGTCTCGCTCTGTCACTCAGGCTGGAGTGCAGTGGCATGATCTCAGCTCACTGTAACCTCCACCTCCTGGGTTCAAGCGATTCTCTGCCTCAGACTCCTGAGTAGCTGGGATTACAGGCACGTGCCACCACACCTGGCTAATTTTTTGTAGTTTTAGTAGATACAGGGTTTCACCATGTTAGCCAGGATGGTCTTGCTCTCCTGACTTCATGGTCCATCTGCCATGGCCTCCCAAAGTGCTGGGATAACAGGCATGAGCCGCCACATCGTGCCTATTATGGCCATGTTTGCAGGAGTGAGGTAGTATCATATTGTGGTTTTGATTTGAATTTCCTTAATAATTAGTAATGTTGAGCATTTTTTCTTATGTTTCAGGACCATTTGTATATCTTCTTTTGAGAATTGTCTGTTCAAGTCCTTAGCCCATTTTTTGATGGGATTATTATTTTCTTGCTGATTTGAGTTCTTATAGATTCTGGATATTCTGCGTCTGATAATCTTTGTCAGATGCATAGTTTGTGAAGATTTTCTTCCACTGTGAGTTGTCTGTTTACTCTGCTGATTATTTCTTTCGCTATGCAGAAACTTTTTCGTTTAATTAGGTACCATATATTTATCATTGTTGTCTTTGCATTTGCTTTTGGGCTATTGTTCATGAAGTCTTTGCCTAAGCCAGTGTCTAGAAGGGTTGTTCCAATGTTATTTTCTAGAATTTTTATGGTTTCAGGTCTTAGATTTAAGTCTTTGATTCATTTTGAGTTGATTTTTGTATAAGATGAGAGATGAGGATTCAGTTTCATTTTTCTACACATGGCTTGCCCATTATCCCAGCACCATTTGTTGAATCAGGTGTCCTTTCCCCCACTTTGTTTTTGCTTGCTTTGTCAAAGATCAGTTGACTGTAAGTATTTGCCTTTATTTCCAGGTTCTCTATTCTGTTCCATTGGTCTATCTGCCTATTTTTATACCAGTACCATGCTGTTTTGGTGACTATAGCTTAGTATAGTTTGAAGTCAGGTAATGTAATGCCTCTAGATTTGTTCTTTTTGCTTAGTCTTGGTTTGGCTATGTGGGCTCTTTTTTGGTTTCATATGAATTTTAGGATTTTTTCCCTAGTTCTGTGAAGAATGATAATAGTATTTTGATGAGAATTGCATTGAATTTGTGGATTGCTTTTGGCAGTATGGTCATTTTCACAATATGATTCTACCCGTCCATGAGCATGGGGTGTATTTCCATTTGTTTGTGTTATCTATGATTTCTTTCAGCAGTGTTTTGTAGTTTTCCTTGTAGAGGTCTTTCACCTCCTTGGTTAGGTATATTCCTCAGTATTTTGTTTTATTTTTATTTTTTTTGCAACTATTGTAAAAGGGGTTGATTTCTTGATTTGATTCTCAGCTTGGTCACTGTTGGTGTATAGCACTGCTACTGATTTGTGTACATTGATTTTGTATGCTGAAACTTTACTGAATTCGTTTATCTAGGAGCTTTTAGGATGAGTCTTTAGGGTTTTCTAGGTGTACAGTCATATTATCAGCAAACAGAGTTTGACTTCCTCTTTACTGATTTGGATGCCCTTCATTTTATTCTCTTGTCTGATTGCTCTGGCTAGGACTTCCAGTACTATGTTGAATAGAAGTGGTGAAAATGGGCATCCTTGTCTTGTTCCAGTTCTCAGGGGTAATGCTTTCAGTGTTTCCCTATTCAGTATAATGTTGGCTGTGGGTTTGTCATAGATGGCTTTTATTGGCTTAAGGCATTTCCCTTCTATGCCGATTTTGCTGAGAGTTATAATCATAAAGAGATGCTGAATTTTGTCATATGTTTTGTTTTTAATTCTCTGTGGTATATCACATTTATTGACTTGCACATATTAAATCATTCCTGCATCCATGGTATGAAACCCACTTGATCATGGTGAATTATCTTTTTAAAAATTTATTTATTATTATATACTTTAAGTTCTGGGATACATGTGCAGAACGTGCAGGTTTGTTACATAGGTATACATGTGCCATAGTGGTTTGCTGCACTCATCAACCTGTCGTCTACATTAGGTATTTCTCCTAATGCTATCCTTAACCCTATTCCCCCACCCCACAACAGGCCCCAGTGTGTGATGTTCCCCTGCCTGCATCC